TCAATAATAAATTTGTTTTTGGGACCTCTATTGTGAAAAGTGTTTTTCCACTGGAAAAACATGCACATGGAATCTCCCTTTACTTAGCTCCTGAGGCCAATGAAAGCTTGGGGCTTCTCTTGAGCTGAAGATCTGAGGCTGCAAAGCAAAAGGATTGCTGAGAACATTTACAAAGCACCTGAGAAAGGAAGCTGAATACAATCTATGAAAGGAAAATGAATACTACAATCAATTACAAAAGATCCCTCACCAGGAATCCAGATTTGTTTTGGTGATAGTTTATTATAGACGTCCCCCTGTTTGTTTGAGGGGGGGGGGACCCCCCTTTACTAATCAGGATCCAACAGTAACAAGAAAGTACGAACGGGGCTCCGGAGCTGTCGGACGCTTCCCATCCTCTCTGCCGGAGAAAAAAAACCGCTCCAAGGGAGGGCGACGCCTTGGGCGACGCCTCGGGCGACGCCGAGGAGGTGCTCCGAGCGTCCACGCGGTGGCGGCGTTTGGAGGTCTTTTTCGTCCGTATTCATTCTTCATTCTAACCCCAAGAAGTGTAGGATCATGTTGAAGGTGAAAACAGATGCAGAACCACGGTTTGCTGAAGGTGAGCACTGGTCCGTTCCGTTCCCTTCCGACAGTACAAGCACAGTGTGTTCATGGACCAGTTCTGGATCACCGAGTCAGGGGTAGCTCCCACACTTGGGTGGTGCGGGATGGACGGTTCAAGAACTGTAGCTAAGTGAAACCTGCAAGGTCCTTGCTGCAGCTAGGTGTCACCAAACCATAACAACATGTACCCGAAAGATGCCGAGAGTAGGACAAGTATCACCCGACTTGACAGGTCTCCAACCGGTGGGTTTTCGGAAGATCCGTTGCAGCAGTGGCAACTCAAGCTCCTCAGGCTCCATCGCCGCCTGGGCTGCCTGGGCCGCCTCACCTCTCGTCCTCTGATGGATTGTGCCTTGGAAAAGAGGCAGCGCTGGACGAAGTCCGGGCGTAGTGGGCCAGCATTCGAGCCAGGTGGGAAGTTGTAAAGGCAGTAGATCCGATCCAACTTTTGAAGCCTTTGAAGTGGTATAAGATGAGAAGAAAAACAGGGATGGGGTCTTGCTTGGACTCAAGTTTGAGACGACATATATGATGGACAAATTCTCTGCACCAGTGAATAAACAATTCCAACAACCATCGAGTTCCCTCCTTGATAAATTCAGTTCCGACGAAGAATGCTGAAACAAGACTGGCAAGTTGCATGACAAAACTCCGACAACTTCCCATTCGAACACGGGACGTGGCTTGGAGGCTTCCAAACTCCACATGTCAAATTGTACCACTGTCAATGTGCTGATGCAACATCTTGGAAGATGTTCTTCAACAGTAGGTGTTGGTTGAAACAAGTTCAGTCTTCATTTCAGCGTCAGGAGCGGATCGACCTCCTTGGTCAACTCTTTGAACACACGTCACACACATCTCTGGTCACCCAAACATCATGGTTCGCTCGCTTCCGCCGATTGGCAGTGCATACAATCGACGGACTCTCCCCAATCGACTGGACGACTGCCAGGTCGGATGGGACGACTGTTTCGACCTTTCACCGAACTGCGGAATCCATGCCCAGTTAGTGGATGTGTTTGGTGCTTGTGGCCGTTTGGTGCTTGTTTTGGGTGCTTGGAACTCTGAGCATGCGTCGTGTTGAGGGGCCTGAGCATGACGCGTCGGTCGGGAGGCTCAAGACCAGGTTTGGCGATGCGGTGTCCTACTTCTTCTTTGGTACAGACACCAACAAGTGAAACATATCAACACCAGGCACTGTTCGATGTGTTTTTCACACGTGCTATGATGTTTATATACACCCAACTGTATAGAACCCGCTTGGCTTCTGTAAGGGGCGGTGTAGTCTGGGTACTGGGTTCGCTTGTTCATTGGGACCACAATGTGATCGCCTTCCATTGTGTTCCTAGAAGAGAGCTGTGAGTGGTTGGTGGAGCAAAAGGTGATTCTTTCATATTTTTTCTGAACCGTGGATCACGCAAGCCATTCAATATGCTATCATCAAACATTGGAGTCCGGCAAGAAAGAAAATATGATCTTCAGAATCAACAAAGGACACATGGCTGTGGCTCAAACATCCAGACCAGGGACCACCGATGTTCCGAAGAACTCTTCCACCAGTGGCATGGGCCATTTGTTGAGCCATATATATATATATTATAGACATGTATATATATATATACACGGGACCCTTTCTGCAGGAACTTTGGAAGGGTGGGCCGATGTTTTTCGAGCGCATGAAAAGACGTTCAGGGCGCTGCACCAGCCAGCGCGGCCCCAAAAACCCCGAAAAACTCGAGCGTACTCTGGCGTATTCGCCTCTGCCAAGTCCCCTTTCACCTCTCGAGTCCCTCCTGGATTGTTCGGTGTCGAGAAGGACTGACTGACTGAGGCTTTCACCGTTTTGACACGGCGACGGCTTGCGACGGTGCCGCCCGTGTGGAGGTTGCCCCATCCTTTGCTCTTTGGCTTGGACCTGCGGCTGAACGGGCCGGCGCCGACCTGGCGGCTGAGGCGCTTGGATGCGGAAAAAGGGTGTGGGAACGTCCAGTTTGGAGCAGGGGGTGATCCGAAAGACTCAGTTGAGAGGAATTGGACGGACAATGATAGACCTGTTCTTTCTGGGAGGAGCATCATCCAAGTGACGGGTCCGACGGAAAGATTCAACTTGGGCTAGCAGGGTTTGGTGATGCCCCTGACAGGTAAAATATTCCCAAATTGGTAGGCCAAGTTCCTGAGTCACTGTGAACAAGGCAGGTGGTCGGATTTTTTCTTGTTTGGCCGTCTTGGGTCCGCAGATGGTTTCTCGAACTTTCTCTCTCTCTCTCTCTCAACTTGGCTTGTGGGTGAAGCCTTCAGACAGGGTGAGATTCAGAGCCTTCCTGTGCGCAGGTGGTTTCTGGTGCTGGAAGTAGGTTGGTATCCTTCAAATCATCCCTTGAGCTACTGAAACACATGCACAGACCACCACGCTGACGTGGTCTTCTTCTCAACCAGTCGGGTCGCCGACCAGACCTGTGGTGAAGCGCGCCACGGCCAAGAAGAAGGATGGCGTACTGGATGCGGCACGGGGCGGAGGGTGGATAGGTGGATGGGGCGGGGTGAAGGATGGGTGGATGGGGCAAACGCTGTCCGAAGAGCCCCCGAAGAGCCTCCCGCGATTCGCGGCCTTGAAGATGCAACCATGATAAGTAGCATCGTCGCAGAGATTTTGGCTGGAGGGGAAGGCAGATTGTGACAAGGGTGTTCCAATTCTTTA